TTTCTCCAGCATCCAGATGAGAAGAGAAATCAATATCGATTTTTTTTGTATTGAGTGTTAAAGAAATCTGGCCACCATAGTTTCTCTGCTACAGAAAAAAGTGCACTTTAGCTTTTTTCGTAGAAGAGAAAGTATCAGATCTTTTTTTATGTATCAAAGAAGAAGAAAAAAAAAACTTGTATAGCATAAAAACAGATCAAAGATGATATACGATTTACTGGACAAAGAAACTTCCAGAGTAGAAAAAAATGAAGCAAAAATAGAAAAGAAAGCCCCTCCCCCCCGCACCTAAAATCTAAAAGAACCCAAATCTCTTTCAAGAAAAGGTAAAGGAACGAACCTCCGTTTTTCTTGTGGCGTTCACGCATCAGCGCCTTCGTGAGGTGGCGCTTTTTCAATTCATTTGTCCTTTCTTACTTTCTTTGCAAACATTCTCCTCCGTTTATCTTTCGCTTTTCTCTTTCGGAGGAGGGAAGAAAGGGGACTTGCGAGGTAATCAGGGGAATACATGGAGGTGTTGCGTGTGTTTGTGTATGCTGACTGACTGTGTGTGTGTATGTGAGTGTGTGAGAAAGAGAGAGAGAGAGAAAGAGAGAGAGAGAAGGAGGGAGGGAGGGAGAGGGAGAGACCGTGACCTCGAGGTTGATGAATGTATAAAAAAAAAACACAGATTTGCACTATTTTTATTCTCGTGTTATTAGCATTATCATAAGTATTGTCTCAGTTGCTTCACTGGTAATTACAACAATTCAGAACTTGTCACGGTATGTCACTTGACTTAGCTTCATGACCAAGACCGTTAGAGACATAATTACCTCTGCCAATCAGTATGCATTCTCTCCCTCGCCATCACCGTGATTGCAAATGCCAATAACGAAGCATTAAAAAAATGACGACATATCCGAACAAAAGACTCAGCGAAGTCACTTTGCATGAGGTCTTTGAGATGGATACCTCATTTCCTATTCATCTCTTTGCCAATCCTTCTGACGGAGGGTGACGGTGACTGCGTAGCCATTGAGGTCATGAGGGAGACGCCAGTTACAATGACCGTAATGATGGTTGATGAGCCATTACGATTGGAGGCGTCGTGAGGGTAAATCTCTTCTCTCTGTTATTTGTTCGCGTCCGCCATGTCCGCGGGAAGAAGCTCGTTGCTCATTTTTTATTCATTTATCGTTTTTTTTCTTTTCTTTTTACATGGTTTCATTTTTTTTCGTGGTTACTGTTTAAGTTTGACCATCTTATCTCTAAATCAGTCTTTTCTTTTTGTCTTCTTCTTCTTCTTCTTCTTGGTTTGGTTTGAATGCCATCTTCCAAAGGTTGTCGACTGAGCCTGAAATGTGCCTTCCACGCGCCATGAGATTTGCCTCATCCACCTTCAACCGCTCATTTGCGTGTCTTCTGTCTGCCATCTCTCACGTCTCTCGTTTGTTGCAGATTAGCTTGCATCAAAAAAATACGTCTCAATCTTGTCTTCCGTGTAGCTTACAATTTATTTTTTTTCTCGTGCATCAAGAATCAGAAATATTTTCATTTATACTCGTCACCCATTGTATTTGTTGTCGTCTGCTTTGTTTGTTGTCGTCTACTGTGTTTGTTGACGCCTTTGTTACCTTACGTAGCTAATTAGAATCCAGGTAAGACCAAGCACACGGCGGCATTAATGGCATACATACTTGCTGGGAAACCGTTCATGGCGAGAGAGAAAGCGGCAATGCTGGAGAGAGAGAGAGAGAGAGAGAGAGAGAGAGAGAGAGAGAGAGAGAGAGAGAGAGAGAGAGAGAGAGAGAGAGAGAGTGTGAGAGAGAGAGAGAGAGAGATCCAGAGAGCAAGAGCGAAAGAGAGGAGGATAGAGAGAGAGAGAGAGAGAGCAAAAGCGAGAGCGAAAGAGAGGAAGAGAGACAGCGAAAAGGCAGAGAGGGAGAGGAACGTTCTGAAGAGGTATGCGGAAAAAAAATAAGAGAGAAAGTGAATCAGGGTGTAAAAGCATCTGAGTGGAACACTTTTTTCCTCCTTTTTCGCCCGTCCCCCTTCCCTTTCCCCGTACAAAATTCCCCGATCCCGTTCCCCCTACCTAAGTAACCCCCATCCCCTCCCCCTGCCGATCTCCACCCCTTACGATACCCCCCCTCCCCCTCCCTCTTCCCCTATCAACCTGCTACACATCTTTTCATCTCCCAAAATCACCTCCGTTCTTCTACTTTATTCACCCCCTTCTTTTACCTAACTCCCTTACCCCCCATCCCCTACCAACCGCTCTCACCCCCTACCCCCTACCGCTCTCGCACTCTTTTCCCCTTCCAAACTCCCCCCTCCCCCCCACTTTCCTTCCTTACTGAATACCTCCCTCCCCCAGGCTGCTTAATGTATTCCGTCTGACCTTTCGAAAAACCCGCGAAGAAAGTGACCATCCGGGTACTGATGCCTTTCTCAGAAGGGCGGGGTGATAAAAAAAAAAGAAATAAAAAAGCTATAAAAAATGCTCGGGTTTTCTGGTTTACTTTTCCTCGCAATTAACCTTTTTTTATAAGCTTTATTTTCATTTCGTGTCTATGGTTGTTTCACTGATTTCATTTTTTAATTTTTTATCTTTATTTTATTTTTTTTATTTTTTGCTTGATAATGTATTATGTTTTCTCCCCAGTGATTCGTGTCTCGTTTTCCTCCTCTGTGACTTTTTAATTTCTCTGTGGTTAATATCTTCCAATGTTTATTTTCCTATTTACTTTCTCATTTTATAAACGTTTAAAAAATCGTATTTGCTATATGTCTGTATCCCTTCGACGTTTTTTTCACCATTGTTTTTCTCTTTATTTCTCTCGCTCTCTTTCCTTTCTCTCTTACTTTCTTCTTCCGCTTTTATTATCATTACAATTGTTTTTAAAATCATTAGCGTTACTTCTGCTAACAAAAAAAAAATCGTTTTCCTCCAACAACATTCCTTCCCCGACCAACCCTCGCTCGCAGCAAAGGTACACGTGCTCTCGCTCCTCCCCCCCCCCAAATGCCCACAGCCCCCCCCCCACACACGCCCACAGTTCCTCCACGATGCCACTCCCTCCACCACGCCTTCTTGCACTTCCTCCGTCCTCCCTTCATCTCCTCTCTCCAGCAACATCCCTTCCTCTTTCCCCAGTTCTAATTCGCTCGTTGGTCCTTCCTAAATGTCCTGCAACTTGCACTGCCCCCGCCCTACACCACGCTTTTCTATCAATACTCGCCTTTCTCTCTCCCCTGCATTCCCAGTTTCTTTAGATCCACGTGCAGCTGCCTCTCCCTTTACACCACGCCCCCTTGCAACCACCCTTCCCCCCCTCTCTCTCTCTCCTTCCTCCCTCCCCCTCTCTCTTCCTCTCTCTACACCATACCCTCCTGCATCTTCCTCTCCCTCTCCCTCCGTCCCATCCCTCTCTCCCTCCTTCTCTACACCACACCCTCCTTGCACTCCCGTCTCCTGCAACCCACCTGCAACTCCCCCCCCCTTCGCCCTCATCTGACCATGCCCTGCAACTTCAACTTTCGACGGACACAAAGTTTTCTTATCTCGGGCAGGTTGGTCACCAGGCAGCAGCAGCCGCGGCGCCCGACTTTCTCCTTCAACCAGTTCTGTGGCTGTCGTCTGCGGCTCTCTAATAATAGCTGCTGGTGCCCTTGTTTTTTCTTTTTTTTTTCCTCTCTCTCTTTTTTTTCAACCCAAGAGCGGTTCTCTTTTTTTCTACTGTGTTGTTTCTCTCCTTTTTGAGGTATCTGGCTTTTCTTTTTTTCTTTTCTTTTTCTTTCTTTTTTTTGAGAGGGTTGATTAGTTTTGCTTTATCTTTTTTTGTTGTTTATGTATGTACCATAATTATTATTTTTCTGGCCATGTTTCCTCCTTCGTCCCTCTCAACCCTTCTCAATTTTCTTCTACCTCTGTCTTCTTTCTTCCTCTTCCACTAACACATTATTATCTCTCCCTATCTCCCATTCCTTAAGAACCAAGAATTCCACTAGAAAGGGAGAAAGAAAGAAAAGAAAAGAACCTAAATACCTATTTCAACAATCCCGGATTTTCCAAGATGACTCAGTGCCTCCTTGAGTGATAATTCGAAAGGGGCGCTTGAGGGCACGTCTGGCTCGTGTTTGCTTAGGGTGCAGAGTGCGTGTCTCTTTTTCTAAGGGAATTACTCGTCATTATTTGAACTCTGTTATTTCCTTGTATATTTAGTATTCAGCTATATTCTACTGTAATTCGTCGTGTAAAAAGTGAATGGGACAGAGTACCATTGTCATTTCCAACTCCCCCTAAAAAGAAAATGCGTATGAATATGTATACATTTAGATAGGTAGATATACATTATATATATATATATATATATATATATATATATATATATATATATATATATATATATATATATATATATATATATGTATATATGTATATATATATATATATATATATATATATATATATATATATATATATATATATATATATATATATATATATATATATATATATACATGCGTGTGCTTGTGTGTGCGTGTGCATATTTTTGTGCTAATGTTTTATTTAGTTTTCTTTTTCGATACTGAAATATATGCACTTACTTCTAAGGATTTTTTATGTATAAAAAAAATCATAGGTGGTTATCGCATTCCTGAATCTTTTCACTGACAACATCCTTCAGTGACTTGCATTGTGTCTCTCTCTTTCTCTTTCTTTTCTCACCGTCTGTTTTTCTTTCCTCTTTCTTCGCTCCCAGTCCACACGTCCCTTTTTTCGTCTTCTACCTGTCTCCTTCGAACCAGTCCCTATTTTTCTCACTTTGTGCGAATCCTTCTCCTTCACTGCTCGTACAGTTATCCCCTTTTCACTAGCCCGTTTTCCCTTTCCCCGCGAATCCTTTTCCTTCACTGATCTTTCAGCTATCCCCTTTTCCCTTTCCCTGCGATTACTACTTCATTATTCGCTCATATATCCCTTCCTGACCAGCCCGTTTTCCCTTCCGTTGCAGGTGTTGGTGACGCTGGCCCTCGTGGCTTCCCAGCCGGCGGAGGCGAAGAGGACCAAGCGAACCATTGGCAAGTGGTTCTCCGGACTCACGAAGTTGTGGAAGGGAGAGGAGGAGCCCGCGAGACCTCCGCGCCCGGTGTACGTGGCTCTGCCTCAACCTCAGCCCATCTACCACCCGCCGCCTCCTCCGCCTACTCCCTCATACGGCCCTCCGCCTCCATCCTACGGAGGCGGCGGCGGCGGATTCGGACATGGTGGTGGTGGCGGATTCGGACACGGCGGAGGCGGTGGATTCGGACACGGTGGAGGCGGCGGTGGAATCGTAGGAGGCAAAGGTCACGGCGGACACGGAGGCGGGCACGGAGGCGGACACGGAGGCGGCCACGACATCCCTCACGGCTTCGGCCCCGTGAAGCACACCGACGTGGTGCACGCCGGCGACTCGTACAGCGCCCCTCCGCCGCCCCCGCCCACCGATACCTACAGCTCGCACTCTATCACGACGGTAGTTGGCGGTGGCCACGGAGGAGACCTAATCACATCCGGCCCAGTCATCCACTCCGGACCCGTCGTTCCACCCGCTCCCAGCCATCCTCATCCCTCAGTCCCGGTGGTTCCTCCTGCCCCAGCCCCCCACCCCGCGCCTCACCCCGCGCCTCACCCTGTGCCTCACCCCGCACCTCACCCCGCCCCCGCGCCCCACGCTGAGCCCAGCAACAGCTACAGGGCCCCTCCGTCCTTCCCTCCGCCCATGGCTGAGCATGGCTCCTCGTCGTCCTCCTATCTCGACGGCTTCCAGCCCTCACAGCCCATCCCTGTGGCTCCCGCTCCTCCTCCTCCTCTGTACGACCTCCCGGCCAGCTCTTCGGGCATCGGCGCTGGCATCGGTGCTGGCATTGGTGCTGGCATCGGCAGTAGCAGTGGCGCCGTTTTTGGGGATACGCACGCCCCTGCTCCGATCGATGTCCTGCCGCCCTCTCCCAGCCTGCCCTCACTCCCTATCCAGACGCCAAGCGAGTCTTACGAGAGCCCGAGGACCATAGCCGGCGCTCTGGACGCCCTTGACATCAGCTCGCAGCTGGGGTACGACGACCCGATTATCGAGATCGTGTTCGAGGACGGCGAGCCAGCCCCACCTCCGCCTCCGCCCATCATCGACCCCGAGCTCTTTGCCCTCCAGGAGGAGCCCGTGGAGGTGTACTTCATCGAGTATTCTCCGGGTGACAACATCGACGACATCGCCTCCCTGAACCTGGATGGCGCTCAGCCGGCCATCCTTCACGACCTTCCGGAAGAACTCCCGTTCGACGTCCGCTCACAACTTCTGGATTCCGGCGTGCTGGACAATGCTGAGATTCAGGTGATCGATCTGGACGACGCCCTTGGAACCACCTTCCTGGATCAGAGCGCCCGCGACGCCCTCGTCGCTGCGTATGGATCCGAAAGCCGCCTCTCAGAGACAAAGGTGAGGGCACCGAGGAACCAGGACGGCGTGGACATTCGCGTTCACCGCCTGCTCGACGAGGACAACAACACGGTGGAAGCCTTGCTTTCGGGGCTCGGGCTCTACAAGGAGGGTCGCTTTGCAGGCGTCGTGGAAGTCAACGACAAGGACACCGATAAATTCGTGCCGGTTGTCGTCGACGGCAACCGGTTCCCCTTGCCCGAGGACCTCGAGGGCCGCGAAGTGGCCGGCGTGCTCGTCCTTGCCAACAGCAAGGAGGACGACTTTGACAGCAGCAACGACAAACCTCCAGCCAATACGAGCGACCCCGAATTCAACTTAGTCGAGGCTAGGTCCAGGCTGAGGTCGCGGACCTCACAGTCAGCGCCTCTCTCTCCGGAGGACCGTGAGTGGTACGGCAATCCTGACGACTGGCGCCCAATCTTTGAATAAGCGAGATGTGATGTCGTAAAAAATCTTCCTGGAATGCGAGGCTTAGGATTCTAGTCCAAGCCTGGAGATTGAGACTCAGTACTCCTTTCTTGCCATCAAGAAACGGAGTGTGGCAGTCTTCTCGGAAAACTAAAAAAAACGTTTCTGTTTTCGAGACAAAACAAAATCTCCTAAGTGTGAAACGTGTGTCTCTAGAGCATTCTCCATTTTTCTTTTTTTTAGTTTTTTTTTTTTTCATTTGAAAAAGGAGGCTAGAAAGTCATTCCTCCTCAGCCCTCCCCCTCCCCCTCCCCCTTTTATTAGTTACCTCCCACTTACCTTTTGCAAAACCTATTTTTCGAAGCGAGGGCATTGCCCTCACCAAAGAAAACATTGAACCTTTTTATATATTTTTGTTCCTCTTCTCTGTTTTCGGGTTGTCAAGTTTTGCGTAGCTTTACTACCGACTCTACACATGATGCTGTAAATATCGCTTCATTAGTTGTTTTTATCTCTTCTTTTCGTTTCCTTTCTTTTTTGTTATGAACATATCTGTTTTAGGTTTAAGGTTCTGATTGGCCGTGGCGATGAAAAAAGAGAAAATTACAAAAACTTTTTTTAATCC